GTCTTCGATGTTATTGCGCATGCACGTGTAATAGCTCGTACTAAAATTCTAAAAATATTGTTTTTCATTTTGCAAAGATGTATTTTGATATTTTACAACATATTTCTGCGATGTATTTCGCTATTTAACTGGAAAAAATCCTGCAGTTTCATGAATTAGTGGCTGTCAACCGTGAAACAAAGTGTGAAAGGCATGCATAAAGTTATAAACTGATAAACACGAATTTTGTCGAAGACGAACCAGATCGATGTTTTTAATATAAAATTTAATCGTTATCTTGACTCTTGGCTATTTTGGGTAAGTGTTAAACATTTCAGTATTAAAATTTCATACCGTACTTGCTTTGTGTTTTCGATTTCATTCACATCGGCGAAATTTTTATGCCATTTAACTCAATAAATAATATATTTTTCTGCAAGCTGGTATTTACATGAAAATGTATAAATGTAGTGATTCTAAATATTGTTTATTTGGGGCAATTAATACAGCGAATAGTGTTTTTATGCGTGTTTATAATGGTCTGTTACCTACAGCAAATATGGCTTCACCAAAGTATAACTCAAAAACTAGCTTTTGCTTATATAAAGCAAATATATTTACCGTATTTTCGAGCAAACTACTGACTATACTGTCAACAAAACGAGTGTTTCAGTTTCCCCTGCAGTTCCACGGCAAAGTTTTGAAACGCTTTAATACCGTTACATTTTACATTAACATTTAGCCGATTGAAAGCCACATGTGACATAAAACTACATTCCTTTGAATAACAAATTATGAAAATGAACGATTCTTTTGGTAAAAAATTATCTCCTATTATTTTCTCATATTATTTTCATGTTACCATAGCGACTATTATTATTTTGAACATGGAGTACTTCATGTTGAATGGAATTTCTCTACTTCATCTGTTAAAAAAGGCGAGGGGTTGCTGCATGCATGTATTTCTAGTCAGTATTATGTATCTCACCGAAATATGGGAACCATCAAAATATTCGTACATATATGCCATATGGCTCCGAAAGTTTACAATTCTAATTTTAAAGAGCAATCAACTTGTGATAGCAATAGCAGGCGCGGTTGTTAACGTGAACGCAATACGAATAATTTCTAATACATTACCACAGTTCGGTGAGATGTGAGACAATACACACATTCCATCGATAACATTAACTTGGGTTAGCATATGTCAACATAACTCTCAAAAAGTGTAAAATTACTGTAGTACTAATATTCATGAGTCATGACAAGTCATTGAAGAGGGCTGTGACCCTCATTAGTGAGCTTAAGCAATAAGCACGTGACGTTTTTTACAACACTGACGGCATGAGCAACGTCAGAAGACTGGGTCAAGGACTGTGATTGGTGAAAAACGTCAACTTTACCTCCGGTCGACGTCCGTGTTGTCAAAAACATCACTTGCTTAAACTCACTATTGGCAGTTGTATGCCATTTTCTGTGTTGGCCATGCACTACTATAGTCTGCAAGGCAGACAAGATGCTCTTCGTGTGGCAGTACTCAATATTGAAGATGTAAAAACTTGCCAATAAGGCGATAATTGCATCAAAACAACTGTTGCTTGTTATGGAACTTTCATCCTTTCCCTCGATAACGTATGATTGACAGTTTCTAGTCGTATTCTAGTTCGCTGCCAGCGGCCACAATATGGGTTGTGATAAGTTTGAAATTGTATCATTTGCATCTTTGGACTCCTACAAAAAAAAATACAATTAGAATGTATGCAATAATCCGCAATTACAGAGGGTTATAGGACACATAAGATATAAGGTCTCACCAAGAAACCCAATAATAAAGCTCTTACATACATCAGACACAAAATACCTGAAAAAGTATATCAAACCCGACCCCTATAACCCTTCCAAAAGCATTAAGTATACAAGCACACAAATATTATTCAAATTTACAGTATACTGTATCATAAGAAAAATAAATACAAAATTGGAAACATGAATTTCCATAGCCTGGTACAAGTGGTTCAGGGAGACTGCATAAAAACATAATACATGATATACATATAACTATACAATCTTATTTAACCCATTAAGCACCAGGGCTCTCCCCTTTACGAGTAGAATAGGCGTTCGACAGAGTAGAGTAATAAAGTTCAAAATCATTTTGTTTGAATTACTTCACCTATCTATTTGTTTAAAATTATGTATGGTAGATGCTGTGGTATGAACACTTGCAAAATTACTCAAAAAAATTTAAAATATAATGTGACATTATGTTGCCTTGACAACACTTGACACAACGTGAGCCTGTGTTCAGTGCTGGCCAATTGCTAATAGTTCATGTTAAATCAATGTTTGGAAAATATAGGCTAGGGGTTGCTGCATGCATTTATTTCTAGTTAAATATTAATTGGACATACTCATGTCACTAGTGGTATTCATTATATCTTGGTCAGACAAAACAAATTCCATATTTAAGAAGTTTGGCAACCCACAGGTTAAAATAGACATCTTGTGAATTATGTCACAAACAATTAATAAATTTTTGCTGCAGCAAGCAGATTCACCAGAAACATGTAACCTCATGAGTTCACACACCCCAAAACAATACTTTCCTAAAATGACAGCTTTCCTTCATCATTTAATTTTATAACTGGACTTAGCTGATCTGTTCTTATAGTTTTTATATTTTTAGACTTTTCGTTATTCAAGTTTGAAACGAGACCAAGACTGGTAGCGTTTAATTTTGACAATTTAAGAGAATGTAGTTCTGCATTACTGTTTTTCTCTGTATCTCATCCTTAATAAGCCTACCATTTTTAAATTTCAAATGTACAACAGATACTTTGGGCTATTTATTGCCTCTTTCTTTCCTCTTCTATATATTAATAGTTTTTCTTTGGAAAATATCAGTAATCATATTTCTAATCTGTACAGTTCTGTTCCTACACAACATCTTCGCACCCACACATCGTGTTTAGGACTGAAGTTCCAGATCATGGAAATGCTCTGCCAACAGCCCTGCGGGTTCCCAAAGAGTGTATAGCCCATGTATATCATAGTACAAACCATAGAAATAAAATTAAAACAATATATTTCCATTTCAAATGCTTTTTCATTAATGTACAATAACTAGGGAATTTTATGTAAAGTGCAATTCTACATTCTCTTCGATTGACTTGAATATGTTTTTGGCTAGCATTTATTTGATGTAGCTACAACAAATCCAGTTTCAATGGACATAGTCACATAGCATCTCCCTATTTGAAATAAGCCAAAAGGCATTATATTTGGTATTTTAATATCTTAATTATTACAGAAATGATTGCACAAGTCATGAGTTTTGACAAATGTTGATCTATATTTTCAATATTAACCCCATTAAGCACCAGCGTTCTCCTCTCGAGACAGAGTAAAATAAATAAAGTAGGCCGCAATGCGACTCAATGGGTTAACTATAAACATGGGCAAATAGGACAGTTAACCCATTAAGTACCGGTGCTCTCCCCTTAATGAGTGAAATTGTCTGGCGTTAGAAAGAGTAAAATAATAAATTAGGGCGCAATGCGACTCAATGGGTTAACTAGACACATGGGCAGATAGGCCAGTTAACACATTAAGCGCCAGCGCTCTGCCCTTAATGAGTAAAATTGTCCTGCGATAGGCAGAGTAAAATAATAAATTAGGCCGCATTAGGGCACAATGCGACTCGATGGGTTAACTGTAAACATGGGCAGATAAGCTAGTTAACACATTAACCGCCAGTGCTCTCCCCTTGATGAGTAAAATTGCCTAGCGTTAGATAACCAGAGTAAAATAATAAATACTTAGTGCGCATCAGGGCGCAATGCGACTCATTGGGTTATTAACATCAACAATGTTTCAAATGTCAAATCTGCCATGCTCAATATAATCATAGATTCGACTATTAATTTGACATGTAAGTCAGATGTCCTGTATACAACAACATCAATATACAGTATACTATTAATTCAATCAGCCACAAAATTGTCAATCGTGTATTATTCTCGGCCTAAAAGCTAAACCTATTAATCCTAGTTGGTGTTTAGTTTGGCTTTTGCTGCTACTGAAACGACTTTTATATAATTATGTGATTACAGCTCGGAATTACAGTGGGTTCTGCATAAGATTTTATCTGGATTCGATGTTTCACTATTTAGTATCGAGTAAAATCAACAAATAATTATGGATCAAACGAGGATGAGAGTATTTTAATTAAGTTGAAACATAGTTGGAACACTCATCAAAGCTTTAATAATATTTTGTTCATGTGGAACTTGAAATGTCCTTTGTGTATTTATAAGCAATTCATGCATGACTTTCATCCTCATTTGACCGAGGCTATATAAATCTAAAATACCAGTTTAAAAACTTACATTATCAAATGAACCAGTGTTGCCAGTATGCCTGATTCAGGAGATGATTCTTGATTGGGAAAGGTTAAACTAGACTGGGCTACTAGCAAGTGATATGTCGCAGGATTTGAGCTAGTAGTGAACTGGATATTTCAATGTTGTTTGCACTTTTTTCATTGTCGCTGTCACTTTCAACTACAACCTACATATACAAAAAATAAATAATCTTACATTAAAACGTGTTTCGTATCGTAAACGTGAAGCTATAAGAACATATTTTGAATAATTGATGTCCGCTGTCGTGATTTGGCCATCAGCAAACAACAGTCTTCGACACGAAGGTGAAGAAAGTAAATAACATTTGCCAGAATTAGGCTAGTACAGCACGAGACGTTTCTTGAACGTATTTTCCTAATAAATTGTTTATATGTCCAGAATATACTGCAACAAACGAGGTTTTACGCTTGTATTTTATCCGTATCCCTCGTCGAAGCAAATCCCAACGGCCAACGTTCGATAATGGCGCCAAAAGTTAGTACGCATGCTCGAGAATGATCGCAAACCCGATTGCTTACGGGCGCGTGCATTCTCGTTCTTAGTTCCCGCGATCATTAATATTACACCTAGGCCTTCAATTCTCGTGATTAATTTTTACAAATACCGTATTTATATTTACGATAAAATTACTAAAAATCTGGAAAACAAATTTGAATACCCTACAAAATGAAACATCAAATCTCACCTTGTATAATCCAAAAAACGTCCTCTTCTTTTTCTTTGCGACTGCGAGCATGTGCATTCTTTAAGTTTTATGCGGAAGTTAATTTGATACGATATACGACGGACGATCGACACAATTAAGAGTCGATTTGACAGAAGGGTCGATTTGACAGAATTAAGACTGTTGATTTGACGGAAGGGTCGATTTGACACAATATTAATAGTCGATTTGACACAATTTAGAGTCGATTTGACAGAAGAGTCGAATTGACACATTTACGAGTCGATTTGACAGAAGGGTTGATTTGACACATTTAAGAGTCGATTTGACAAAAGGGTCAATTTGACACAATTAAGAGTCGATTTGACAGAAGGGTCGATTTGACACATTTAAGAGTCAATTTGACAGAAGGGTCGATTTGACACAATTAAGAGTCGATTTGACAGAAGGGTCGTTTCGACAAAAGGGTCGATTTCATTCCAGGGTCGATTTGACCTATGCGAGAGTCGTTCCGCAATGGAGAGCCGAAACGGAGCTCATAGGGGCCAAAGTGTTGATCAAAAGCGGCCCCTTTATGTGGGGCCAAAACAAACCCGGACGTGAGAGTCGTTTTGGTCTGTGGGGCCATATTGGCAATTGATGGGGCTAAATTGGAAAATGATGGGTCCGTTACGGCAAAGGGTAGGGCCAATTTGGCTTTCTTCCATACCTAAAATGGCTCCGTCGGTGCAGATCCAGCTCTCCAATGCCAAAATGGCTTTCATATAGGGCCAAAACAGCTTTGGCCCCAAAAGGGCTGAAACGGAATTTGGGGTCGATTTGGCCCTTTTTAATTTACAGTGTAGCGTTGTCGAACTAATCGCCCAAGTTATCAAATGTTTATGTAACATCTAACGTTTTAAAACGCCGATTATGTCATCGTTATCTTACCATTGAAACTTCAGATGGATTTGTCAAAATAAGTTTATATAATAGATTTATGTCTTCGAGGGGGGGGGGGGAATTTGCTGGGAAATATGACCCGAGGAGGTCAAATTTAAGGGGGGACAAAATGTGACTAAAAACTCTGCACGAAATCAACCGCTTCAACCAAAAGGCTTTAAACGATTTAGTACTTTCCATACCGGAAGGCTATATACAAAGCTTCAGAATTAATAGGAAAACACGCAAGTCAATTGAGATTAACTGTATAGACATTTCAAATTACGGGTTTATATAGTAGGCATTCAATGTTGTCGTTATTGATCGAATACGATAATAATTATTTGATTTAGTCTGTATTGAACTTTTACATATTGTCGCAATTCAAATCTTGCATGTAGGATTCTTCTTCTCAGTGCATGGGCTCATGTTTTGTACCAAATTGCGGAGTGCATATGCTGCAGGAACAAGCATTTGCCAAGAAAATTTGTCAACGAACATTTTCAATATCATAAATTGCGACTTAAGGATTATCACTCGCGTCAACTGCAGGCTGGGCTTCATCAGCTCCAAGTTATGCATAACCATAACCGCATTACAAATTTGAAATATTCATATCTAAAAATAATTATGAAGTTATTTGGAGCCCCAGGTCATTGATATGAGTTTGTGGGGTATGGCAAAGAGTGATAAATTTAATTCGCAATGTGATATACGAGTCAAGGAATTATATGCTTAGCTTTATTTAAATTTTACTAACGTTTAACGATTAACAGTTATTTCAGATTTTCAGCCTTCAGGTCAGATTAATACGAGTTTTCGCTGTCACTTGACTTGCAAAGAGTGTATTAAATTCTCATCCACAAAGAAATAGGTACACATGACAGTATTTGTCGCCAATTTGATTTCAGTGATATTCACATGCAAATGAATTCATGATATTATTAGTATTGCAAGAGTTACTGAGGTCGGTTAGTAAAATAAACTCATCGTAAAACTATTCCCTGATATTAGCCTGCGGATGAACTGATTCACTATACATTTAGGCAGGATAGCTATACGAAATTCCAGCGGATTGAGAGAAATACAAATACCTGAAAAATACTGGAAGAAACTTCAACGTTTCGAGACCAACTTTCCGACAAAAGGCCTAAGCATACTAGCTCGAAACGTGGATGTTTCTGCATGATATATTGTACAGTGAGTTGTATTACCATATATAGTTCACATGTTATACAGTTGTATCTTTAGACGTTCTCCTTGTAGTGTTCGAGTAGTTGTGCCTATCAAGCCGAAATATTATTATTCAGTATTGGCAAATGGCAATAGCACTACCTACCCTGCCACAGAATAACGCGGTTCAAGATTATATTACCGAATTACCAACATATTGCAAAATGTAATATCAAATGTGTACATTTTAATGTGTACATTTTGTTAATGCGTATATCACTTCACGCAATAATTTTGCAGGATGTGCTGAATAAAACACTATCAGTTAATATAGGTGAAAGCGTTTGGAAATTTACGTAATGGCGCTCGTGAAAATTTTGGTCAGTGTGTAAGTTTAAATCAGTGACGTTGTGAGAGGAGGGGGGGGGCAAAGCGAGCGCCAAACGCATGAGACCGGCCAAAAGGGTATGGGGAAATGCTCCCTGGTGAGTCCCTCAAATGTGATTTTACTTGATTTTAAATAAAATCATTGTTTTGAAAAGCAAAACTTTTACTCCGAATTTGTGTTTTTTTTGTGCAGGCCAAGACTTTGAAAAACCGCAATATAATGAATTTAGTCCACAAAATAATAACTATAGTACATAGTGGTTTAGTGTAAATGTAGAAAATGCTTATTTCTACAAGAAGTCACATAAGTCATAACACTGGTCGGGAATAACTGAGTCAAATGTAAGATACAATGTGGGTAATAATATTATTGATTGCGCCGGTTTGTGGCTAGAAGAGTATAGAACTTGCCAGAACAATATTAATATTTGATCCGCGAGACGATATCACAGTGCAAAGAATTTTATGATTTATGTACATGTACAAAATGTCTGTTGAAATGTTTTCAATTAAATCAGCAAGAGTATAATTTATAACACGCCGCAGCTAAATGTGGCAGCAAATAGTAGTTGACTTAGCGAGTGACATGCAGTGCGATATTACAAACAGCTAGTATACTGATCATGACATAAGTCTTCGTCTGCATTGTAATATACGCGATATACCGAAACACGCGTGTGCATTATTTTATGCAAGAATTACAAGTCGAGCTAAATATAAACACAGTGTGGCTAAAAGTAGTATTCTGTGGGTAGATCTTGGCGGAATGATCGGCATGCAGTGTATTAATATTGTCTTTGATCCGTGATATGATATCAGAAATAAATGCGTGATATTCATGTTGTAGTATTTTCACTTAAAATATAGCAAGACTTACTCACAATGCTCAATGATGCTAAATATAAAACACAATGTGGCTAAAAGTAGCATTTTGTGGGTAGATCTTGGCGGAATGGACGTGCAGTGCAGTGTATTATTGTCTTTGATCCGTGATATGATATCAGAAATAAATGCGTGATATTCATGTTGTAGTATCTTCACTTAAAATATAGCAAGACTTATTCACACAATGTGGCTAAAGTACTGGCATTTTGTGGGTAGATCTTGGCGAAATGACCGTGCAGCGGTGTGTATATTATATATAGTCTCTGTTCCGCGATAATAATAACATAAATAACTGGGTGATATTCATGTACATTTTTAGATAACATGACTTATTCGCAATGCTCAATGATGCTAAATATCTGAAAACACAATGTCTTTAAAAGTAGGATTTTGTTGGCAGATCTTGGCGGAATGGCCGTGCAGTGTATCATTGTCTTTGATCCGTGATATGATATCAGACAAATGCAGGATATTCATCCGGCACATGTATTTTCTCTTAATATAGCAATTAAGACTTATTCACAATGCTCAATGATGTTAAATAGAAAACACAATGTCTTTAGAAGTGGGATTTTGTGGCTGGAGTTTTGGCGGAATGATCGTACAATGTATTATTGTCTTTGATCCGAGATATGATATCAGAAATAAATGCGTGATATTGATGCACATGTATTTTCACTTAATAAAGCAAAACTTATTCACAATGCTCAGTGATGCTAAATATAAAACAAAATGTCTTTAAAAGTAGAATTTTGTTGCTAGATCTTGGCGGAATGACCGTATCGTATATTATTGTCTTTGATCCGAGATATGATATCAGAAATAAATGCGTGATATTCATGTACCTTTTTCGCTTAATACAGCGGCAAGACGTATTCACAATGCTCATTGATTCTAAATATAAAACACGATGTGCTAAAAGTAGTAAAGTATTTACGTCACAGGCTGTTATATTATGACCACTGCGGAGGCTTGAATTGCACGTAGGCAGAAATGTAAAATGTGTGTCGGTGGCAGTTTGTTTGTACACCTGTCGTCATTGCGATCAGCTGATTGGCTCTGTGAATAATGTATAATTATCTACCTCAAAGTATTATTTGTAAAGTCAAATTATGGCGAGTTGAAGCAATGACTATGGCTCTACAACGTCGTGATCCCAGTCCTTCAAGACCATTTCCTAACGGAAACTTAGCGAGTAACGGTCAGAGTAAGGGAAGAGGTCACAAGGCGAATGATGATCAGTTAGTTGAACGGATACGACGATTCAGTAGCCTCTCTCAGGATGATTTTATGAAGATGAAGAACGCTGAGCAACAAGACGACTTTTTTACACTCCGTAATGCTCAGGATATCACAAACCCTGATACTAAAGGCGATACACATTCTCTGCTATCAATAAAGATTGTTCCTAACTCATTTCGAAGAATATTGGGAGTCAAGGAAATATGCTCGAAACAGGGGACATTTTTACATCGGACTATCGATTTACCGCATAAACCCGGTGATTCACTGGGCTTTTTAATACGGCAAGGTGATGGCTGGTCGAGAACGGATGGGATATTTATATCGAGACTTGTACTAGGTACCGATGTTGATAATTTTGAGTTATTGCGAGTTGGGGACGAGATTATCCGGGTGAATAAAGTCGACGTACGAGGCATGAATGTTGAAGATGTCAGTGCACTTATGCAAATGGCGAAACGATTAATAATTACTGTTAAAGTTCTCACTCCTTTGTCTAAGAAGAAGTTGTTTGCTTTAAGCAATGGCAGTGTTCGTACTCGGCCGGGCACTGCTTCTCCTCACCCCAGACAAAGCAAAGAAGCTCAAGAAAGACTTGGTTTATCGACCCCGAGTGAGCAATATCGAAATATCCCACGAATGTACAGCCATCAGACAAACTATAAGATCGCAAGTCTGCCTATTGGCAAATCATCAAACAATAACAAAGGCAGTCAGTCGCCAAATTTGTCAAGACCGCGTTCTGTTGGACGACCTCCGACGCCAGGGAAACGAGCTTTGTCGCCGATACATGAAACTTACGATTCTCAAGGCGAGCCAAGCGGGATTTTAGCAACTGGCAGACGGAAAAGTCTTGGTGGGAGTAATTCAGTTAGTTGGTCTGATCAGGTATCTACAAATAGTACAAGCAAAACAAATATAGCTAGAACGGCCAAGTCTGGGAAGGCGGGAAGATGACAGCTAGCAGAGTAGACCTGAGATTATTCCTTGCGCCAGGAAAACAATGTAAATCAAGTCTAGTACAGCGAGATGTACTTTTGATTTCAAATGAATTTTGGTAAAGTGGGAATTAAGAAGCTTAATATTTTTTCAAGAGCCTACAAATAATACGAGTAAAACAAATATATTCATATGGCAGCAACATCTGGGAAATTTTAAAAGATGACCGACTTGGGATATAATTCTGGATCATTCTCCGCTGTGGAAACGTTTTAAATCAAGCCAAGTCATGCTATGTATTTGTGGATTTCAAATAAATTTTAATAAGTGGGAATGAGCTGATATTTGAATATTAATTCACTTGTTAATGAATATGCAAGATAGATGGGCAGAATTCCAACCGCAACGTTGACTCTGTGGTCAAAATAACGTCAAAGAGTAGTTGAGAATGACCTCTATTACATGATAAAATCACAAACATGATATCGTTAAATCAGCACTTTGCTAATGTTCAAAACAACTCCGAGTTATGCTTACAGGTATAGATATACTCTATTGTATTGTACATGTTATGCGATATGATGTATACTCAAACTATGTTACATAAAAGAGCTTCAACAATGTAAGTAATAAGAAACATTGAAATAAAAAGTAGTCTGAAGGAATGTATATTTACAACTCCAAGATATTGATTAAATTTGAAGAAATACACTAACCGAGTCTACATCAAAGTTAATGTGCAGCCGCGGTTGAGAATGTGATCCATTTAAAATTTAGTAGTTTTAATTACCAGTTTCTAGCAAATTCGGGATGAGTCTGTTATAATGGGACTTCCACTTGCAGATAATTATGTTGTCGTCGAAATATTTCGCTTGATTTCTTTTGAATTGTGATCCGAATATAAATTATTTCTACTAGACGGCTCACAATTAAAAAAAAATAGATGGAGCGAAATTTTGCAGGTAGAAATGCAGCATACATTACGTGCGACTTTTTTCTCGCGCCGGCAACGCAACGGATCAAATTTCATTGCTCAGTTCTGCGCGAAACGCAACTTGATGCCTTTGGCGATCGTTGGCGAAAGTTAAAATGATTTACTTGTTTGGGCAACGCTTGGCGAAAAAAATAAATTACGATTGGTTGTATTTAGTCAGCCAGCCAATGAGAATCGCTTTACTTGGCAAGTGGACTGGCTAGAGAAAAAACCGGTGGGGTGTTAATCCAAAGGACTATAGTAAATATGTCAGTTTACCCACAACTTTGCTTCTAAAACGTCGTTAGTTATACGGTCACAGATCGAATAATTATAACAGCAAATCCATACATATTTTAACGTATTTTATGATCTTTAGGAATGCAGTCTAAAAAGGCTTTTTTAAAAAGTCTGCCTTGTGATGTAGTTTGCGGATAAATACGATCATTTTGCCAATCAGGCAAGCCAAATGGCTGTGCGGGGTTTTCCTTTATCCGCAAACTACGTCACAAGGCAGACTTTGTAAAAAGGTCTATTGAGAATGTTCAACTTAGTGCAAATTTTAAGAACGTGCACAACTCTAAAATTTTATTCTGTCATCGTTTTTGGTGACAGGATAACACTTTCGGAGTTGATTTAACTGTTTGAAATTTACAATGTGATATTTAAGTTCTTTATAGGTTTGCATAGCGATAAAACATATAATACTTTTGTTTTTTATGTAATTACTCTGATCAGTAATAAATTTACGTGCACGTGGTGCCTCCACAAACAAAAGCATTAAATGTGATAGTTTTTGGATTGATCTGACCATTCTTCACAGCTAGTAATCAAATCAACAAACTAAGAGCGCCTAATTTTGTCAAGAAATTATGAATTTAGCCTTGATGTGTAAAACTCTGGGTTTGCACTTGTCTTCCCAGACGAGAAAATCATTGCACGTGTTGCCACTTCTCTTGTGCCAGCAATGTGTTGTACCAGCGCGACAATCGCTCGTTGCCCATTTTAAAAGCGCTAGGCAAACGAGGATTAGAGTAGACGAGTGTTGATTGGAGTTGCAACTCTCACAGTCGTGTTTGATAGCACGACACTACGTTTCTTCAGATCAACTGACTATGAAACTTATATAAAGAAGGTGAATACATTTATTTCCCCTGTTTGCTGTGGTAGCACGCAACACGGTGGAAGCTACGCCTTTACTAAGTTATTCCAAGATCTGAAACTAATCTAAGATTGACTTAATTTAAGGATTCGAACGTCACGAGTTCGAAACCCAGTCACGGCATTTTGATCAATATATAAGTTCATAATGTCCAGTATCCAGAGCGGTATTAGGGTGCGGTATTGTGTCTAAAGTCGTGTTTACACTACCAGCCTTGGCCTAGCCTTGGCCTTGGCCTACCTTTTGACGGTGTAAACAGACTTTGGCCTAGCCTTGGCCTGACCTAGGCCAGGAAACCTGGGCCCACTACAATCGGTGGCCTAAGGCCTGGCCTAGGCTTGTGGCAATGTAAACACTTTTGGCCCTGGCCCGGGCCTTATTTTTATGGCAACGTGTGTCCACAGTGAGAGATTATAGCGGATAACCAGCGGACAACGTCACAACACATAAAAATACACAACATTAATTACAAAATTCTAGGCCAAAGTGAGCCAGTCTCAAAAAAATAGTGTAATGGTGTAAAAGCGTCACATGTACCTTGGTCTGTCCAATGACAGGTCAAGGGTAGACCAAGGCTTGTAGTGTAAACACGACTTAACAAACTATAATTATTATTAGGTCGATTTACCATGTAAAACTGCATGTGTCCCAACCACTTTTGAAAGTGATTGTATATTCATATCATTAATAAGGTTAATTAATGTTTGTGATGTCACTCTGAGTGTGCATCCACATTGGGCAAGCTGAAGCTTCGAGTTGGTGATCTTTCGGAATTTACTGTAACTGAGTCTAGTTCCATCGATATCAATGTATATGATACTTTGTATGTTGGTGTAGCCTCAGTTCCGAATTATCACCAACTCGAACTGACTTGACATCCTAGCTCAGTTGGTATAGAGCATTGGAATGGTATCCCAAAGGTAGATGGTTCGATTCCCACCGTGGTCAGGAAAACATTTCTGCTTGCCCGGTGTGGATGCACACTCAGAGTAACACAACAAACATCATATACAACTGTTTCAAAAACGTTAACTTGTCCTCCATGATCAAAAATCGCAAACCTTAAATTCTAAGCGCGCAAAGTGTGATGAGTAATTTCTTACTTAAGGTCTAAAACGTGCGAATTTTGCATTGTATAACTATATGGCAAGACTGATAATAAGCCGCTTAAGATGTACAACTAGCTGTGTACTAGGATTATTTCGCCAATCAAAAGCACTAAAAATAAGTTACCCGTCACTCTTTTGCGCGCTTAGAATTTAAGGTTTGAGATTTTCGAAGGATACGTACCCGGCTTTTTTGAATTACCTGTATTCTTGAGTACATAACAACAACACACGCAAAAAAATGTTAATTAAGTCGACACGAAAATATTTCGTTGTACTCTGCATGCAGGTTCGATTCTGAAATATAGAAGGATACCTTGGATTGATATATAGGGATGCAAAAATACAACTGAGGTGAACTTTGACGTTCCGTGTAGCGAAGGCCCTCGAAGGGCCTTATTACCAACTACTGCTACTGACCGTTTTAAAATAGAAGCGCTATGTTGCATGATTTTGTGTTAATAGTTAATTTAAACATACAGTATATACTATTTATACCAATTTGAACATTAATGCCTGGTTCACACTAGTCGTAAGAATCGAGGATTTCTATTGTCCGTGATCATTAGCGGGTAAAATGCTTTGTCTGTCGGAAAAGAATACAATAGATCGCCGATGAATTACGACAAGTGTGAACCAGGCTTAAAATTGTGCTTGCGAATAAGCGCTAGCTTCTTAATTTAAACATACGAGTGTTTCTGCCATCCTGATCTCACCTGGAAGTCAGTGTTGAACAAAGTAAAATTTGGAATATATTTTTCTTTGCTGACCATAGGAAATGTAGGGAGCAGAGGGCCACAACCCCCCCCCCTCTCTAAACAATGATTTGGTAACGAAATTTGTACGAAAAACCCGTACGATAAAGCGACTGAGTTATTATACTTAAAAAATCGGCAAAATGTTTAAAACGAAGAGTGCAAGCGCACATTAAATTCGTCCAAAAGGGGAAATATGCTACGATTCGGAAAATTTCTTCAAGTGTTTCGAAAGTTTTTGCCCCATCCCCACCTCTGCATGTCGACTTAAATTATTGGGAATTGTATAAAGAAAAATTATTTTTATTGCCCGGAAGCTTTATGAAGATCGAGCGATTCCCCTCCATCCCCTTTTTTCCTCCAGTACGCCTATACTGTTCAACGTCGCATACATTAGTTGACGCCAGGCTGCGGTTGACAGTGGGTAATAAACAATATTATATAAGTCATTGTGTTTAGGAAATTACTCTTGCTGTGATATGCAGTGCATCTGATAATATTGTTTATCATATAACATACATTGCTTGCTTGAAATTATTGAAATTCTTTAATTAATTAAACTGTTCTCGCCAAATGCCTGATATTGAATGTCAAACCTAATTCTAGGAAATTTTTATTACTTCATTCAATCACCAATAGTTATTTGTCTGTCAGGATACTACTGGTAGCCCACAAGGAAAATTTTACTGACTATCCCCTGAGTATGGAACTGATTATGAAATAAATCGGGGTCAATGGCAGGGACTTTAAACTCAGTTTGAGCTCGAAGGGCATATATAGGTAAGTGGTCTAAATTAATTTAAGATACATAAACAAACAGAGATAATTCAAATTATGATATTGCAAAATAAGTTCATAGTGTACAGTACGTGAAAATATTATAGCTACTTAATTCTATGTTAAATTGTCCAATAAATAAACAGCATTTGTACTACGTTAACGCTGTGATTGCTACGATGTTGCGCTAAATTCTATGATTTAGCAATGGAGAGATATACTGGTTACGCGGTCCAGATGATTTACTATTTCAAGATCGAGGGAAGGCAGTTTTTCTCATTCGGACCGTCGCAGCCTAAGAAATATATCGAACCTAATTAAAAACAGTAGGCCTAATCGAATTGAAAATAAACTATTACTTCCTTAGTGAATTAAGGCAAAAAATTTACAAAATAAATTGCCATATACAAGAAGTAAAACTCGTCAAGGAAAATTATTCAGATCGAACTTTTCTTAAGACTTTCCGCTAAAGTGTTGATAAAGAAACTATCACAAAATACCAACGACCAATGCACAACACACACTTGACAAACAACGGTTCATGCGAAAAAGAAGCAACTCGAAAAGTCAACAGAATATTGAATAATTCATACACTAAAGTTTAAAAAACACTGATCGTGTTTTCTTCAAATTCCTGTTGCTAAATAACACATATCTGATATCTATAATCAGAATCTGAATCATCGAGGAAGTCAAGACGTCTGTCTCGAGATGTTCGAGCAATCACCAGGACCGAAGTTGAAGTTGAATATGCATGCAGCCATCAATCCCACACCCGAGAACAGTCCAGTTGTTTTGGAGACTGTTTCGATTGAATTAAGCCATGCAGAGTTGCTTGCTTGACTTTGAGAAACAGACTGAACTTCCAATGCTTTTCAAGAATAAATATTCATGTTGACGAACTGACTGCGCTCTTTGCATGCATGAAAAGACTGGAACTGGCCTTCAAGTTTGGCCTCAAGTTTCCGGTTGGAGGTAGCGTACCAGTTAATATATTCATGACACTGTTCGGAGCACTGGAATTTTAGTAAATTAAATTCTTCATCTCTTAGAAGTAAAATTTGAATTATATACTGACCGAGAGTGAGGGCAGTGCGGGAAAATATCCAACCGAGATCTTGCTGCATTGACTGAGCGATAGCGAGTAAGTTGTTCAGTTTATTGATATGGCATGCTGTACGTTTGAAAATATGGAGAAAAAAGGTCACGCGCGAGTGCAAAGTACAAAGTCCGAAACATTTGAAAAAAATTGAAAAATGTTTTCTCTTGGGTAGTGAAACAACTCAGCACTTTTTATTGAATACTGACAGAAAAAGATGATCATGAGGTATTTTAATCAAAGACAAGAAATATGAAAACAATAAAATAATAAACAGCATCGACAAGAGTATGTTTCTGTTTGCTTTATTTCATATAATTAGCATATAGTCTCTTTTTTAACTAACAAAAACAGAAATGTTCTGCATGGAAAAAACTATAAATCTGTGGCTGCTTCAGTTGTATTTTTTATTTAGATGGCGTCAAATTCTTCATAGCCCTCATCTGCAAATAAAATTTGCAGCTCTTCACATGTTCAAAATACAACTAGTCTTGACTGCTTTAATAGTTAAAAACATTGTGAAATTTACCTTGTAATTTCAACTTTCGCTAACAAAAGCGTATTGAGAAAGTTCTTTAACCACAGCAGTTGCTTTTTTTCTCTATTTTAGGTTTATTTTTCTTCGTTTTAAATAGTCTGAAGAGATTTTAGACTGTTTTGCCGTTTGAAAATCGGCTTATATTGCAGCTTCGTAGGGCTATAAAAATTGCGTATTACCGATAGGCAATACGGGGTAATCCGGCCTCATCAGCAGCCAATCAAATTGCGCGATTCATCAAAACAAATGCTTGCCAAACCATAAAACTCGATATTTATACTGTACCGATTGCTCGTTTTCAAGGGAAAAAGCGGCGAGTCTTCAAAATGTCCAGAGTTCTTCCAAAGGCTGCTCATAATCATATTGTAAATGCAAATATTTTAATTGATTATGACTGAGTATTAAATGAAACAATGTATGGGTGATTAAGAATAATTAACCATACTGTCTATGAATCGTGCTCATGTTTGTTTTCCCACGGTGTACAAGCTGTTGTCTCATTACGGAAATTAATTGTTGGATTTTTACACAAAAGGGCGGGGTTTTAGTTGTATTCTAGGGCCAGTTGTACGAAAGCCGGAAACCGCCATCCGCTGGAAAATGACTTTCAAGTTTTTAAAATTGGCTGTTGATTGTTGTATATCAGGTTAAACGTAATTCTATGTGAATCAGAGTTTCATTTTGTTATTAAACGCGCGGTTTCATAGCGTTCCCAGAATATTTAGCGAGGTTGAAAAATCACTCTCCATCCATATAGCGCTATCCTCCTTTCGTATAGAACCGGCCCCATGCATGCAGCAGAACCACCGTAGGCCTAGCTTCGTGTAAAACACGCAAGAATATATCGTTGGAACGAACGAGCGACAATGGATTTATTTGTCTTTACAACCATAATTTCGCTAATATAAGTCATTTAGTATATGTATGTACAAACTATATACAAAAAGTGTCGAATTTCTAAATTTGATTCTCTGTCCGAGATTTATTGAGAACGTAATGCTAGAAATTCTGGCCTACAGCCCTTTCTCTACTGTCCTACTGCAACTAAACTTCACAAGTCAATAGGGAGTGGATAATAAATCGTGTGGCAGCATGTGTGTATATGCATGATTGTTGGTATATATATGAAGTCCATTCAAACACACACGACTACAATGACTAAAAGAAAAGTTAAATCCACAATAGTAGATTATTCTTATTACTATTAAATTTCTCATATGAGTATTTGGATACAGCTATATTTAGATATAAGTACTGTACATAAACAGTAATTGCATGCCATGAAAAAATAAAATTTGAATTACACAAATATGTGTAATTACGCAATTAATTATATGGAAGTTACTAATAATAATTATTTTTTTTAAATCGGTCTAGATTTATATTGTAATTATACAGACAAAATTATATCAGGTGAAAATAAAATAAAATAAAATCACCCTCTTCAATGTATAGATGCATATCTATATATATATATATATATATATATATATATATATATATATATATATATATATATATATATATATATATATATATATATATATATATATATATATATTAAGGTACAACAAATCAACAAAATCCACTAGGCATTTTGATTGGACCACGCTATATAGCCTCAACAACCGTAGGAGGTTGATTTCCATGAGGGGCGTAAAAATAAAGAGATATGAAAAAAGTAAAATAAGAATAGATTGCAGTAAAGGGAACAAGAAAATACAATGATTTTTAATGCACGATCATACACGAACAAGTTTCAACTCATTCTTTGTTTTAATATCAATTTGAAAGAGCATAAGGATTCAGCAATTTTTCATATTGGTTCGCTCAGGATAGCGTATGACAATTGCTTAAATTAAGTAATTTATTCAATTTAATTTTAATTCATGCCATTCATGTTAGTTTGGTTTAGTTACAACTAAATAAACCTGCAGACTGAAGGTTAAATAATAATATAATTCTCCTTCAATGTTCAAATCTTCTTAGACAATATATGTGTTTGCTTAGGAATTAGTACATGTAGCTTTACTTGCGTATATAATGACCATTTAATTGTCTGATTGATATCCAACTATACGGCTCTGAAAAATATTTGAAAAAATGTTTCAACAGGAACTAAATGGCAAATATTCAAACAGAATTTCTTAACAATACTTAATCGAAAAATTTGTTTTAAAAGTATGTAGCTATAGGGCTTAATTTTTAAGCAATACCTAAAAATTGAGGCAAAAGATGCCGATTTCTGAAGGCATCGTTAGTAAGCACATCTGGCATTTTCCCTCGCTCTGATAATCAGGATTCTGTTGTTGGTCGAGCAGTATAAATGCAGGACAATATTGCTCTCCAGCTACAGACAAGGGTTACCTGCCAAACAGGGAAGATAAAAGTCAGTCAAAAGGAAAAGCGCAAAAGGTATAGTCTGCATGCCACTCCTGAAATTTTATAGATAAAACTAAATATATAATAATAATTTATATCTGTTTTTATTCAGACAGTGCATGTTTTTAACTAATTTTGGCGTCCTTGTTTTGGGGATCAAAATCAATATGTGTACAGTATAATATTTATACGGACAATATGATATAAAGGAAAAATTTGAATATTATATTTGCTTGAAAAATCATTTCTCATCGTAAAATTAGGATAATCCATCTGCTGAAAACTTCCTTTTGCTCAGTCTCAACTACGCATTTATAGAAAAACCTGTTTGGGATCAGCAAATATGAACATATCGTTTTTTACAGTTTTAAAACTACTGTTTTAAATTAAGGACAAGTAACTAAAATGTGGCTGCTCTTCATCCTGTTCCTGCAAACTCGTTTTAATGTTGTCCTAATCATTTTCAATTTTTTAATTAATTAAAAACAACAACATAACAAAACAATTTTGTGACAGGAGTCTTGCTGCATTTAAATGCTTTTCCGGCTGTTTCTTTTGGAAAAAAGTTGTCTGTTAAAAGTTAAACTTATCTGTCTATAGTTCAAAACATAATTCCCCCTGTAATGCCATTTTTATGAATGCTATTGTATTGACTATATATAATTTGTACACATGCAGTACTCAGAACAACGAGCATGGCAAACTAATCGTTTTGCAATTCTAAATTTGTTTAGGGAGTCACCAAGATGAAAGTCGTTGCACTAATTCTTGTCATTCTTCCGATATACTTTGAAGGTACGTCTCTGAACGATTGAATTTCAATATTAGCTTATGCTCGGAACTAAGTGTAGGACTGTAAAAGCGAGTGTAAAAGTATACCGTAAACCAGCGAACCGTTGTGAGCGATTTTGCGATCATATTAATTTTTTATTAACAAGTAATTTATTATTACATTCTGAACCTTTTCAGAAAGTTTTTTAAAAGTTTCCAATCTATTCTTTAAAGCCAAATTTTTGTTTCAAAAACTACGCTGGCGATTTTTTTCAAATTTAAATATACGACTCCTTAACTATATTATCAGCGTTTCACGTCAGCATGAAAAACGTCTATTGCGTACTCGCCTTTTCAGAACTTGTTCTCGAGCTACGCCTATATATATATAGCGCGTAGGATAGCTAAAAGTGCTAAACTTTAAATTATATTTTGCCGTTCGGTAAAAAAAAATTGGAAAACAATGATTGCGTTGCCATTGCTCACGCGAGCAACACGCGCGCACGAGCTTGCGTTTAGTGTTAGCGTAGTGCAGAAGACTTCGTGTTGAAACAGTGTTTGAAAATAAAGGCGAGAAGTTGCTGCATGCATGTATTTCGAGTGAGTGCATGGTATCACCTAAGAAGAGTAGCTGCCCTACAGAAAACTTCATGTGCTTTGTGTTGATAGAATTGTTATTTCCCATTCTTTATCATGCATATTTTCCGCAATATATTGCCATGAACGTCCAGCCCTTTCCATTTATCATGTGTCTTATAATCCTCTCGTTCGGTATTAAATTATAAATTCTTTGCAAAGGGCATTAAATCAAACGTATAGTGATTAAATGATTGGCCCATGTAAGGTAACCCATGCCCTCCTTGGATTCCGGATTCTGCTCATTGGATTCCTGATTCCAAATCGGCTGTGGATTCCGGATTCCGCTCCTCGGATTCCGGATTCCACTCCTTAGATTCCGGATTCCACTACTTGGATTCCGGATTCCAGATCGGTTGTGGATTCCAGATTCCAGAAAATTGATGCAGGATAAGGATTCTGGTTTCCTCCGATGTTTAGTTCTGAATTCCAGTGTCTATTTATAATAACTTTCGCCCTTCCCAATATAGCAAGCAATTAACAATTTTTGGTTGGTTGGAAAGACCAGATCAGAAATCCTTATAAATCGTGCAAAATTCAAATTAATATATTTACTCGCCCAATTTTCTTTTCCGCTTTCTGCGCGTATTGTTCCTAACCGCTTTTATCTTCATCTTTTTTAATTAGCAAATCGTAGCTCAATATAATTGTAGTGTAGCCGTTTGAGGAATACACTGCAAAAAATGAAATACTTGGAAAGATTTTTTTTCCTAATTTAAGATAATTATTCTTATATCAAGATTATATTTCTTGTTTTAAGAATAGTTATCTTGGTTTAAGAAATTATTTCTACGTTGAGAAACATGTAAAATTAGTTTTTCTTAAATGAAGATATTATTTCTTGACGCAAGGCTTTGTTTCTTGTTTCAAGATTTAAAACTTAATTTCAAGAAAATTTAACTTGGTATAAAGTGGTTAGAAAGGTTATATCATTACCTGAAGATTATTTATCTTGTCTTTAGAAAAATAATCTTAGGTTTGAGAAAAATTATCTTTTAAGTTCAAGCAAGTGTATATAAGTTTTCTTGTTTCAAAAATCTTAATAAAATTTATATTTATCTTGGTAAGATTAATACTAATCTTGCTAAGATTTTTAGTAAGATTCGTTCCATTTTTGTAAGATTATTTTTCTTTTATCAAGAATAATTTTCTAGCCAAGAAATATTTTCCTATGTATGGGACAAAAACAAAAATTATCTTAAATCAATTTTCTTGGTAAGATTAAATTTCTCAAATCAAGAAAATTTTTCGCGATCAAGAAAATCTTATCTAGAAAAATTTTCCTATGTATGGGACAAGATAATTTTGCTTAAATTAAGAAATTTTTGCTCAAAACAAGTTTTTTTTTCTTAAAATAAGCTTTTCATTTTTTGCAGTGTAAAGTCATGATAGTCAACATAATATAATAGCGTAATTCTATACTCACGATCGAGTGGGTCACTATTGGAGGGTAACATGATACCAACATCAATTCATGGCATCATTGGATTGGAAACAGTGCACAACTAACACATATTTAATGATACATATAAATTCAGAACTTAAAATACTACCTACGTCCTTTTCCATGGCCTTTATACCGCATTATTTTGCTTTTCCTTTATTCTGGTGTAAATAGCCTGCAAGGTTAAGCTATAAGTGTTTTCACCACGTTGTTTCGGAAAGAATCAGTCAGTAAAATCTTTATTTAAGCACGGTAGCTTCATGAGGTTTACAAACTAGTTATCTACATTAAGAAGTTTAAAATTTTTCAAGCCTTTGTTACATTAATATTTATACCTGTTTTCCACGAAGGCCGTGTCTATCGAATATGATGTTTCAACAATTGTAAGAGATTCAGTAAGAGATTCCGGTTGTCTTATATTGCTAGTTAAGCTGTTCCATAACACCGCACCACTATAGCTAAAGCTATTTTTAAGATAATTGGTGCAGGGTAAAGGAGCAGCAAGTTTGTTCACGGAGTCTCGAAGTATATAAGGAGTTACATTGTTGCGATTAATAAATTTAGAACATAGATATTCCGATACAAGATTATTCAAACATTTGAAAACCATCAACGCTTTTTGAAATTGGCGTTGTTGGTTTAGATCATCCCACCCTAGCTTTTCCAATACGATATTGGCATCGGCGTCAAAGTTGGAGAAGGTCAACACCCGCATTGCACGGTTTTGAAGTTTTTGAAGTTTGTTAGATAAAGTTTTACCACAATTTCCCCACACGACATTACAATATTCAAAATGTGGTTGTATTAGAGCTTTATAAATAACATGCATTGTTATATAGTTAGTGTCAAAGTTCAATTTTTCTGTTTGCCGATTGGTCAAAACCGTGTCACGTGCCGGTCCACAAAACGTCATGTTCGGCAACCGGTCCGCAATGAAACATTTATTGACTGGTCAATAATAAAATGGGTGCAATACGAATGCGTGTCAACCACGAAGTTCCAAAGTTCATTTTTAAACTTTTTACTAAACATTTACGGCGTTCGATTTATCCAGTTTTGGTTTCAAATTAAGTTCACTCCAATAACCGGTGAACTATTCATACTTTGACACTTATTTACTATATAACAAAACACTTATTTACTGAGACCTTGGGAAAGCAGTGTGTTTTGTGGCCCCTCGACCGCCGTTGTTGCCCTCGGCTTCACCTCGGGCAACAACGGCGGTCTCGGGACCATAAAACACACTGATCCCCTCGGTCTCAGCAAATAATTGATAAATGTTCATTTTTCTACTCAGTATCGGACGCAAAATGCAACTGCCAATATGAGTATAAAAGAGTTGGGTGTTTCAAAGACGTACGGCACAATGAAGCTCTTCCTGAGATGTTGGCGAATGAGAGAGACAAACACAGTGTGTATTATAATGGCCATGATATCAACTGGTTTGACTGGGATAACTACATGCAGCAATTGGTTTGTCGTTGTGCAGAGCAAGCTCTCAAGAAAGGATATAAATATTTTGGAATTGAGTACTGGGGTAAGTTAGAAATTATGACCATAACAAGATAGGTTTACTACCTTTTAGCTTTTATATTTAACGAATGGTCTGACGCTGTGCAGAACAATCTGCCATAAAGAGATTTTAATATTTTAAGGTGTTTTTTGAAGATGGAAATTTCGAATAAAATTTATAAATATTTTATACATAACCAGAAGCAGTAACGAAAAAAGCAAATATCGCCCCTTTGGCAGGAGTTAAATCTACGGCGTTAGGATTCCGATGCCTAATCGCGCAGGGCTGCAGGTTCGATTCCTTCCTGGTTAGGTCTAGCCATGTAATAAATTTCATTGGAAATATCCATCTTCAAAATATATACCTTATCTTCTCGATTCTAAGATCCATTTTGTTTTTGAAGGATTCTAAAAAAAATATTATAACGGACCGGTTGTTGTGCTAGTTTAATCGTTATCGATCGAAAAAGTCAAATTAAGTCAACTATTCCCAACAAGCTTTTTACAAACTTAGAAAAACTTTTTCCAGAAATCTTGTCTGTGTCATCAGTCCAGTCGCCCGTTTAATAAACGGTTACACGGACAAACCAAAATATCAGGTTAAATTTCAATTCAGCACAATTTTATACACTGCCTTAGCATAATCGCACTTGGCGTATTTTTTGTGTAAAAGAGGGCTCGCAACTAGAAACTAGAAGGTCCCAAAACTGTTCGGGGCGTCAACGCAATTTTTTATCGCTGACAGTCGGACGCATGATTGATCCGCGCGATAGTCGTGCCCATCATTGATCCGCGCCCTGAAGCAAAAATTCAGCGAATACTTTGCTCATAAGATCCGCATTCCAATGCGTGTCTTGCGCGTGCAAGAATTCTGTAAACATTTATGGAAACCTGAATTATCAATAAGTTTAAAAGGAGGGAAATCGGTTACCATATAGTAACCCTGAATGGTACTCACCGTTCCGTTTATATTTTCAGGCGAATGTTGGTCAGGTCCCTCACCAGCAGCTGATACTGAATACAATAAACATGGGAAAGGTGGTGCTTGTTATGGCCCTGGGTACCGCATGTGTCGTCGAAATGATGCCAACTGCGTAGGAGCTAACTCTCACATCTTTGTTTACGAAATTGGTAAGTTCTCCTAATATTTCTATCTAAAATCCAGTCTTTGTTGCTATTCTGTCGTTTTCGTCGACGTCGTTGGCTGCTGTTAGTTGTTGTTTTTGTTTGATTAATTAAGTTTGTTTTTGTTTTGTCGGGTTTGTTTTTATACTGGAATGTCTTGTTTACGCTGTTGTTGTTATTCTTGCATTGGTTATTGTGTTCATTGTTTCTGGGTCTTTTTTGCATGTTGTTAATTCTTGCCCTACTTACGCTGTAACTCTGTTATTGATAGAACTTTGTCATGGTCACTGTGCATGGTTATGTGGTTTAAGTGTTTTTGTTATTTTTCAGAAACCTATGCATGCGATGTTCATTTTGAGAAGATTGGTTGTTATAACGATTACTCTCGCAACAACGAACTAGCCCTGACAGCACGTGACCACCGCAGTAGTAAATACATGGGAGAACCTATTGATTGGTGGAACTATGATATTTTTCTACCAAAGTTTGCTTGCGAATGTGCTAAAAAAGTCCTCGAGAAAGGATATAACACATTTGGCCTCCAGTATTACGGTATGTTGAATGCATTGGACCATACATTGATTCAAACTAATTGAAATGAAGTACTGTTCATCTCTGTGAACCAAGTTAATATTTTACGGTAAATTATTAACGCCTACTCACTGTTGCCCTGATTAAAGAGTATCTTGCTTATGTCAAAGTACAACCACAAAAGTTTTCACAAAAGTTAAACAACTGCCATTGCTATGCAAACAATATGACAGATATTTTGGGCTAAAAAAACAAACTCGAAAAAGATTCTGACGGTATCCAACTTTTATTTTACGAAATGATTTTCCCTAGCACAATCACAATTATTTTAGCAATTAATAAAAATTTTCCAAGGCAACGAAATTTTTCATATGAATAATAGCATTAATTTTACTAAATTTTGACAGCCAGTGACCAATATGAACCCGAAACTTGGTTTTCATTGCTATTTCATATTGGAATTAAATAAAAATATTTTAAACAATTTTTTATTGTCACTCAAAAACTTTGAATTAATATTATCAGGCTAATTACCTGTTAAAAAATATTATCAACTGCATCCGCATTCCAAACTGAATTTCTCGAGTTCAAAACCAGGACCACCCAGCGAACGCATAGAACCTCATGTACAAAATCTGATTTTTTGAGACCGAGATATAAAATCATAGATAAAGTTAGAGAACAATATCTAACAATTATTGAATGAGATAGAGCAAGATATGAAGGATTATCCAGCAAAAATTTGTGCTAGCAAGCGAATTAAGCCGAAGACTGAGGTTGAAAACACAAAAAGAGGGTTCAGTTCGTCTAAACAACGTGTACGTCTTCTCATTTGCAGATAATCTATCCTGTTTTCTTTCATAAATACTGTAAAATGTTTCAAACCTTTTAGTGGCTGTTTTTGTTGACATTTCGTCTTAAAACTATGCTTTAATAAAAGCAGGGATGTCGGAAAGGGGGCCCCAAAAAATACGAGGTACAACGATTAAAAAGTATGAATTACGGGCGAAATGGACGTAATATTGAAATATACGTGAATTTTTCTGGAATATTGCAATTGTGTCAAAAATTAGGTTAACTTTCAAAATTTTGTTGCCCTTGTTTTGGTGAATTAAGGTTCCGGAAAGTTTTTTGCCCTTGTTTTGGTGAATTAAGGTTCCGAAAAATTTTTCGGAAACGAAATATTAATTAGTGATTTCCCTTACGTCAACATTGCCCCTCTGTGCCCTACCCTCGCTCCGGCGTCCCTGAATAAAAGTCGTTTCCTTCGAGCATTCAAACCCGGCCGGAGGCGTGCATATCTTTTAAATAAATAATAATAATAAAAGTTAATTAGCTAAAGTTATCACTACAATCTTCTTTCATTATATTTCGCGCGTTTGGGGAAAGCCTTGACAGCCGCCATTTTTTTTATACTTTGGAGAGAAATGTTCGCTTACTCCCGCTTCCTCACCCATCCTCCTATAAAAAGTCCTTAAAACGTTGCAGTTTTGCCTAAAAATTAACACGCAATAGCTTTTGATTAAAACATTAGTGTGTGAAGTTAATGAAAGCTCTCTTGGTCTATCTAGGAGAATGTTGGACAGGACAGAAATTTGAAGACAAATATTATCATGGGCAAGGCGAATCCAGAAGATGCATTAACAAATGTTATCAAAGATGCAAACGTTGGGACAGATTCTGTATTGGTGAAGGTTTCGCTAACACTGTTTACCGCATTAGTAAGTATATATTTCTATACAGGGGCGAAACTACTAGGGTGTGTGGGCAGGGGGGGGGATGTGACACTCCCCATTCTCTATCTCCTCTGGTATATGCCTACAATTTCGTCGGACAAATTTTGAAAATATTTGGATTGAAAAGTAATAGTTGTAGGGAAAATGTTGATAAATTTACGAAAATATTACTCAAAATTTTTACAAATTACGATAAATTATTTCGAAATTTAGTGAAAAATGCTATGTCGAGCGAAATGTGAGTGGGATTTATAAGAATTTTTCAACCATTCAGTTTATATTTGGTCTGTAGCCTACATAAAAATAACATCATGAGCAAATGTCCCGAAGTGTTAAAACATTCTGGGGTCTTGCCAGAGAATCGGACATGGCTACTTTGAGAAGCTAAGAAACTTTTTTTTCATGGTTTATTACAAATTGCCAGTTAACATTATTATCCAGCAGGTTGTTTATGACATGCTTGATCAATGTCATCATTGACAATGGTTTACTTTCAACATCCTGACCGCAATAACATATTTTCCTCCTATCTATATACCCAGGCTTCTATCCATATCCTAAAGTTGGATTACACAGTTATTAGGTATAATTAGGTTACAAAATGATCATTGAAATGGGAGGGAGGGGGGAGGGTTAAGGATTTGCTGAAACGAGATCTTAATTGTTATAACAAGTTTAGAACGAAAGCCTCAACTTTAATTTGCCATTGTTTTTGACAACTAGAACGTAATTTGGAAATGGGTTATTGTCATTTAGATGTCTATCTTTTCGTAATCATGCCAGACATACGAAATGACTAAGCACAGTATATGATGAAATATCTCTAATCCAAATGGATGGCGCTGATTTTTAGTTGAAAATAAAAATATCCAAATATATCTTCCAGTCAATTTGTAAACTATACTGTACTTTGCAGTATATGTGACGTCAATATATATATATATATATATATATATATATATATATATATATATATATATATATATATATATATATATATATATATATATAATAGAAAATTCCATCGGCTCTTATCAATTCCCCCTAAACCTTTGGAATTTAGATTTTGAGTACCATTCTAATAATTCTGCATAATGAACAAATCAAATTCGCCTGTGAGAGGTAGCCGGTAGTTGAAGTCAAATCTGAACTTCCCTAATGTTCCAGGAACAAGGCCGTCGCGTGCAGTGTTCCTTTATGGGGGGGGGGGGAGTAAGCAACAAAAAACCTACCTGATTTTTACCTAGTTCATAATTTTACCTGAAAATAACTTTAACCATTTAACAATTATTCGCCGAAGGCGAGGTGATTATCGGGAAATATTCGCCGAGACGAAGTCGAGGTGAATATTCACCGATAATCACCGAGCCTGAGGCGAATAATTGTTTTAGTATTTTTACACAAGCTTTTGTGTTTTTTGAGACTAAATTTATTTTAATTTCGCTTATTTCTTTGTCAGTAAACTTCCACAAAACAGGTAGCCGCCATTTTGAAATTCACCTGTATAGGTGAATATAACAGCTTATTACGTCAATTTTGACCAATCAACGTGTAGGATTTGTTATGTTCACTTGTGTTAAAATACTAAGAATTAATATTTCTTTTCCCAAGCTTTATTATATTCACAATTATGTTCACATTTATAATCCCCTCCCCCACTCCACCCCCGGTCGCTACGGCCCTGTCCAGGAACATCAACTTATGGCAGCTTACAAATATTATTCCACACAATTTGAATCACTTTAGCTCACCCTGACTGTGAAATGAAATATGAAGGCTTGGGCTGTTACAATGCAGTTGACCGTAGGAATGATATGGCAATGTCGGTGCTCTTATTCAATGAAATGTCTCCGCGCATTGGGAACTTCAATGGCTATGTGATGCAGTTTGATGAATCCTGGGAAGCAATGTATCCACAATTGTTATGTCGTTGTGCCCGAGCCGCTGAAGAAAAAGGATACAAGAACTTTGCTATTCGAAACAAAGGTAGGAGATTTGAAAATATTCAACATCTTCGGAGTTGTGGTTGTGCACTTATCAAGAAAATAATGACTACCAACACAGAAACTCTTAATTCCATTCTATCTTTGATAAGCTCTATAGTTCATGTCATCTATCAACCTCACCATTACATTTCTCCCCCTCTGCTTTCCTGTGCTCTCTACAACCTCCGTCCGAAATATTCTTCTTATAACTGAATTTCTTATATCATCGCTCGAAAATCGGTTTGGTTGTGGAAGGAGGCTAAAAAACACTAATGGCTCCGATGACAGGCTATGCACCGGTAATTTGTCAAGCAGAAACTGGTGCATTTAATAATTTAGCAATTTAAATCACTTTAATTAAACCTTTAAACTTGTAAAATCGTAGGTACAACAGGTTACCCATGCAATTACTGTACTCCAACTAAAGTTTTAAAAAGCTATGTTGCATTGTAAAAAGTCAAATATTTTAAACAGTTTAGACAAACAAGGGTCAATAGCCGACAACCATAGTTTTAAAATAACAACAATGCGGTTTTTTATGCAACAGATGTGCGGATTTACATTTTACACAAATTGATTTCCATGCTCTGCAGTCATCAATGTCGTAAACAGCTCTTCCAGCATCTTTATATTAACTATTTGCCTTTAAAACCGGTTTGATTTAAAAAGTGTTTGATCTTCTAGTGTTAGTTAGCGTGGCAATATATTTCACAATTTAGCTACTCTTACGAAGTAGCTAGTTTGATAAATCGTGGTTCAGAAATTCCTTACAAGTAACTGCCTCCCCCTGCCTGTACTGCTACCTGGCATCTTGCTGTAATATAAAACGCTGTACAGACGCCTGAAGGTAAGGACACTAAACCATTGAGAACTTCTGAAGCAAATAACATATAGTTCAAGCCAGTAGGTACAGGTTAAATATCCAAAGACATTAAAATCATTGAATAATTTTTGCAATCACTGCAAGGATTTCACATGCAGTAACTGGATCATTTAATCATTTTGCACTGACCTTCATAAGTGTCCCACTGTGACTTCTTTGGTAAGTCTTCTTACTTCTTCTGTTCTTGGAGGAGCTACACTCCCCTTACTTCACCCCGGTTCTGTCGCTTATAGAGTACTAGGGAGCTTTAGCAGCGACTACGAGTACGAGATTCGTCAAGCGAAACGCACGCTGTATAATATGCTTACGTCATCCCGTACTGACCCGAAAACTCGCAGCAGTCGTCCATTTGAGTACGAAATTTTGAAGAAATATCGTAGTCCTCACGACGACTTTTTAAAAAACAAAGAAAGTTTTTTTTCTTTTCTGCAAAAATTAAGCGCTTATCCGGTAAATAATCTACTAATTCTAAATATCTGGCTTGTTTTTAACTTCACTTATATTCATGACTTATTTGCACTTAATTCATGAATATAATTATTGTTCCTCATAGAAGGGGCTAATCTTGCAGGAAATTTTAACCTGCATGAGATTTAGCTTATAGATTTAGCTTACCGCTATAAAACAGAAAGGAGAACGACTACGACTTCCTCGCACGCGATCAAAGATTCAAATCTCGTACTCGCACTCGCTGCTAAAGCGGCCTATTTTTAGTTCTTTCAAACGGACACAACAGCTGGAGATACGATGAGCACATGGGGAAGCTGTCCATCTTGTCTTTTACTGGACGTGGAAATAAGAAGAAAGATATTTTTCGTTTTATATTAATTATATTAATTCTTAATGTTTCAAAACAGGCGAGTGCTGGAGCGGACCAAGTTCTGGGCAGTCGTATATGGAACGATATGGAAGAAGTGAACATTGCATTCGTAAAGCATCTGATCCATGTGTAGACAACATGTTGTGTGCTGGGGATGAAAATAGTATCAGTGTTTACAAGATATTGGAACATGCAATTCAAATAGGAAAATAGAGGAACCGAGAAGACGATTCATTAAACTTTGCGAAACGGTTCGTCATGTAATTATTTATTTACTTTCTTTACTTAATGTCGCTTTATTTTGTTTCGTTACTTCATTCTTAATTAAGGTGCACTGGTGTCATTTTAATTAACTTTATTTAATTCTTACTTATTTTGCGTACCCTCACGTTACGTGACATTGTTTATTACTTTGCATTACTGTATATGCTTAACATTAGTTCAGACATTCCACTTTTCTTGGGAAGCAATTTTGACCAAAAACTGAGGAAATATTATCATACCAAAGCTGTGGCTCTGAGAATATCATAAAACGTGTTTAAAATGCGTTTCGTTGACTAAAAATAGAACCACCGGGGGGACCACGCCACCGAACGTTCGAACAACTACGCAGATTTTATATTATTTTTTAAATAACGTCACTTGAACTTCAGTTATTGAACTGCGGTAACAATTACAAGATTAAGGAGCAAAGGCCAAGATCCAAACTATATTTGAAGGTCGGATGTGAGACTAGGAAGATACTTTAGATAAAAAAATTACAGACAACAGCTTTCAGTTTCAAAAGCTACTCAGATGCGACCTTATATCTTTTAACGAGTCAAATTATATCGGAACTTGGTATAGATGAAAGCTTACAAAACTTTAAAATACCAGAAATACAGTAATTGATCATGCGTCAAACATATAGACATTTTCTAGATACCCTATACCCCTATTTTCTTCAGGAACTATTTGACGCTGTCAAAAGATGAGTTATTAAGACCAAAATTCTTCTTTTTACGCGAGCATGCCCCCGGGGCCCGGACGCCCACAAATTGTGATTCGCAAATTATTCACTTCCACCTCCCCATCAAAAAAATACTGGCTGCGGAACTGCATTTACTTTAAGTTTTCTATTGCTGTCTACTGCAACATACTTATCTCTATATTTAACTTTCATTCATTGACCTTAAGGAGGCTCCCTACAGTTATTGGCAGAATTTGAAGTTGATTTAGTCAGACGTCATTTTCGCGTCGTGCGCGTGGAAAATTCGTGGTGTTTTTTACACAAGCGGACAAACCGGCGAAATAATTTTTGAGTGCTCATCTTGAAAAGAACGACACCAGCATTTTTTTATCGTACGTAGTTGAAATTATTAAAAGTACATATGTTGTTGACCAGTTATTAAACTTTTGTTTGGTATATTTTTCACGTTTTAACAGTTAGTATTGGTTTTTAAAAAGTTCAAAATCTTCGACTTATCAAAAGTCGAAACAATATTAATTAAATATGTTTTTGAAATGCTGGACTACAAACAATAATATGACAATTATGTGTCACTGTAATATTTATTTATGTAATAGTTAATATCGAGACTTCGTCTTCATATTCAACTTGACTCGTCTAGCGTTTTGTTTTTAATGTTATAAAAGTAGATTCACTTCATGAAACAGATCTTTAGCGAAATAACTTTAATAGTCTTGAATAGTTTTACGGGTTTTCAACACAATCACAACAAGTGCAAATTTAGAAGTTTAGGGCAAAATAGTTTTTCCATTCTTACCGTTTCAGATATACATGTACTCTACTTTCTGTTTTCAATAATCTCAAACAAATCATAAATATTATGGAAGTCAGATTTCATAAATTTTGAAAACAAAATATGTAAATCTTAGCCCCACGCGTGGGAATAGTCCCGCGCGGAAATTGAAATCCTGATTTTTCCGACGTCATACGCAAGAAAACAAGTGCATTTTTCTCTTGTTTCCTTCGGTAAACTTTTTTAAAACTTTGCACACTTTACGGCAATCACAAAATGCATAAAATATGTGATTTAAAAAAAAATCGTACGAGCCGAATTTTTTTAATTCCAAAAACAGGGTTTTTTGAAAATTAAATAAAATTGGCTCGTACGATTTCTGTAAAAAACTCTTTTTTGATAGAATTATACATTAGATCCTTGTGTGCAGAAAATTAAAAACTTTTACCGAAGGAAATTCTAAAAATCTGAAAAAGAATGTAAAAATAAGGCCTTTTTCAAATTGCCTTGTTGCCATGGTAACAAAACAATATGAAAATATTTATCACTTCTCGTATTCCAGTGTACTGTAACAATGTTGTCTCCAAGTTTCGTTAGCATACGTTTTAAGCAAAAGAAATAATAGACCTTAAAGTGCTATTGACTGTTCTTAGTTAAAAAACTGTAGGGAGCCACCTTAAGTTTCATTATTTCCTGTTAGTACCAAGTACTCATGTTCACTTTCAACTGTTCGAAATAGAATTTCAGAATAATTAATTTCAACCTTTTGTTTTTCTTCAGGTAATGGACATATCGATTATGGACAATCCACATTTAAATTAATATCTAAAGTAGTTTTAAGAAATTAGTTTTAAGAAGGTGTAAGCAATTATAACGGTAATCTTAGATGTATTAGCTAAAAACAGACGATTAAAGTATTCACTGCATTTAAATTGGTTTGCTTTGCATTGTGTGTCATACGCGCTAACTACAGCACGCTAGGAGGATTAGCCATGGCGTTTATAACATCCACGCGTGCATGACGTTGTTTCTTTGGAACAAATTAAATACCATATTCCTAGTCCTGAAGATAAATGTCTTTCATGGTCGGATTTTGAGCGGAGGTGCGGGGAGGTGGGCACCTCAACTGAGATCGTTTTGCACCGTCCCTGAAAATTTCTGCAACTCCCCTGAAAAGTCATACACCAACCCCCCCTCTCTTGGGGAAGTTTCGATGATAAATTAAAGTGGAAATTTGACATTTTTGTTGCTTAGGGTGTACACTTCGCAAGAAAGTTTTTCTGTAAAATTGAAAAAGTGATACAGTAGCCATTCATCTATGTGTTAAGTACCTTTTTAATGTACTGTTTTGAAAGAAACTTTGTAGTAATTGTCATGATTTGTACAGTTATAATTCATTAATACACTGCATACATGTACCTACACTACATGCGGCCCATCTAAGCCCTAACTGTCCATGGGGTCGTGAGCTAGACCTCCCCTAAATATTTGTCCATCTCCCCCACTATTTCCGCCGAAATCCGGTCTTGATGTCTTACTGATTTAATCGTTGAAATACTTTGTTAATTTTAAAACATGTTCTTACTAGACGTGCAGGGGTCATCCTAAGCCTAATGCCTCCCATTTTCCAAAGTGGGCACTTCTAAATGTAGAATGCAAGGGTAGTTCAATATAAGACTTAAAATGGGCATTTAAATATGCTTGAAGCGAAACCAGTATTATTCAATGACATAAATAAAGACGCTTTTTAGACGTTGTCTGGTTTTAAATATTTACCCGTTGCATGAAGGTACTAAATAAATATTTAAAGGAAATGGCATTATATTTTTTATTTTCTTGTTTGAAAGAACATTGAAAACCATATATACAAGCCTTTTACCGTTTTTTCATATCTTGCTTACTTCTACAAATATTTTAATCGAAAGAAATGAAATGTCCGCCATCTTGGATTTTTGTAGATATGCATGTTTCGTCACAACTGGGGTCACGCAATATTTTTATCTAGAGAACTACTAATCATTTTGCACTCAAAATTATACTCTGTATGCCCTTCCAAATACCAAGATCACTTGAAACCTTTAAAACATCTACCAATCAATATTTGGTCAGCAACGAATGCTTTTATATGGTTAATCCCTGTTGTGACGTCACCAAAACTACCGTTAATGAATCAAAAATTTATCCAAGATGGCTGACATGTCATTATTTCAAGTGAAAATATTTCAAGAACTAAGCAAGATATGCAGAATAGGTAAAAGAAGTTATTAAATAGTTTCAAAAGTTCTTTCAAATGAGAAAATAAAAAAATATATTGCCATTCCCCTTTAAAGCCAAAGAACGTCTAAAAAATTTATTAGAATGGGCAGTAGTTCTAAAATTGACTTTGTGAGCTTTTTATGATATGAAAATTATAGTTAGAAATTAATCGCCCATGTACAGATATTTCAGGGGGAAAAAACAAATTATACTCTGAAAACGCAAGAAATGGCTATTCTGCATGGATTTCTAAATTTCAAAATTTTCCGTTTTATATATTATTTACCTACATATAGTTACACCTATAACAAGGAACAGTAGGCCGTTTGCTATGACCTCGAAAAGTGCCGAGAAAACAATTTTCATTTCCCATGTCTTGGAACTGAACCGCTCCGTAGACCCACAGTTTTCTCACAAACTCAAACTGCTATTATTTTTATCTTCACTTATTTCACGACAATTTTTTTCATTGTTCAACGACACGGATCGATGACGACAAACGATTATGTCACTCAAAAGGACCAATTTCTATTAACCAGTCTTCCTTTTAAGGAAAGACCGTTTTGCTCCAATCGTTTTTAGTTATGTGTAATCTTATGCCGCGTTGGACGTAAACAACATATCTTGTCTACAACTTTGAGAAGGTGCAGATAACGTTTTCTAAAATCCTCAGTTCTGGCTCTATTTCCATAAAATCACAAGGACGTTAAGTCTTTGGGCTATGTCTCTGGGCTGAGAGATATCTTATGCGGTAAAGCTAAGGGTCAGCATTTAAACATCCAACATCCGAGACGTAACTCAAGAGATAACTTGTCATTGCATTTGAACTATTACATCAGTTGGTGTTAAACTGTGCGATTACTGCGAAAAGCGAATATTAATCAAATAAACAGCTCATGCACACATTTCTCCACTTCGTTGTAACTTTACAGAGCATGCTTATTTTATACTTTGGGACTGATCTTTGTCTTTGATGTGAACATTTATTCTTATAGTTTAAGGTTATTTAACATTGATCCCGTCGTAAGTGTTCTACCAGTAACCAATCGATAATATTTCATTTTAGCGTTGTCTTTGCCGTTACGTTGGCTTCGCATTACTTTTGTTTTAAATACCTTGATCGCGTTAAAATAGTTATTTTTCAGGCCAGTGGCACAGCCAAAAGACATCACATTAACGTCCTTGTGATTTTATAGAGATATTTCGCTAGAACTGAGGATTTTAGAAAGCGTTGGCTGTACCTTCTCAAAGTTGTAGACTAGATATATTGTTTACGGATATCAAGCATAAGTTAGATTACTAGGCCGTAGGATGAGCATCCAAAAGATGCAATTCCGTTGCACCCCTCGTGGAACTATGTAATTTTCACATGAATAAATAGATAAAAACTTACTTTATCAGAATCCGTTGCTCCCCAAGTGAAACAGGTGCACAATTGGGAGAAAAATTCCTCCAAAGTTTGATATTTTCGCGCTTCGAAATATTCGAACCGCCATTATTTTGGTAGCAAATACGCATGCGCAACACAGTCAAACTCGCACTGCGCACGCGCAGACTATAAAAATAGATGCTCACTGGGGGGTTTCCCCGATTTCCTCCGCAAAAACAACAAAATAAAATCACAGAATACTGATCAAACCTTGTAATATAAATACACCCACATTAAATATTGTTAAAAATACATTGTATATTTTGCTTGCTCATATGCTAAATGGTGATTGCTAGATAGTATACTTACTCTTTATCCGTTTGCCGACGCTGATAAGACAATATGACATACCGAAAGATTGGAAAGACAAATAATATGACAACAGTGTTTCCCAGTTCGTCCCGGGCTTTAAGGGATATTTATATAAACTCGAAATTCATAAAAAAAAAAGTTGGGAGGAAATATAAAATCCATAATTTCATTATAGCTATCTATAATTGAAAGAAATATTTTCATCTTTGAACCCAGATTTTCATCAGAGCAATAAAATCCCACTTATTGGATCTTGGCCAAGGGATTGTACGCTCAAAACGAGATTGCATGTATTCTGCAATAAGCTGTCCTGGCTTTTGTCTGGTAAAGTTCTACTTCTTGTATTTGAACTATTTCATGTATTATATTTATATTGTGACATAAGTTGGTATTTAGCCACTATCTAGAATAACAAGGAACTACTATAATACTGATCTACTCCACTGATAATACCTACATGCATTACCATCATTGTTCACCTCAAATCATTAATAATTCATGAGCAAATTAGCCAACCATATTGCTTTATTTTGCTCACATGATAATACTGGATACCTTATGAAGTATATTGATCCTGTAGTGTCCTAGGACTGGATTAAAATTAATTCAGTCCTTGGACTGGATTAAAATTAATTAAGTAGTGACTTATTCGTATGAGATGTCATTTCAAATCCTCCAATTCGGACTGGACTAGATTTCAAGTCCTCACATTTTGATCCAGTCCTCTGCTTCGTCTCGGACATGATCAAATTGCGTGGACTTGAAATCTAGTCCAGTCCTCATAGACGGATTTGAAATATTATCCCTTGTCAAATCAGATGCCAATGGTGGCCAAGGAAGATTCAGTTTTGGTATTTCTTGCACCTTTTGGTGAAGAACAATACAGCATTGTATAGAATTTGTAACTCATTGACTTTAGAATTTCCCTCAGTTTCTGTGTTGGAATTTACATCATCATCATCAATGGTACAGCTCTCTTCATCAAAGTCCTCATCATTGTTTTCAGACTTAGGGCCTGTTTATATGGAAGCCGGGCTGGCCTGATAAGCGAGACAGCCTGGTAAGCAAGATCTCGCTGTGTAGTTATTTTTATAGTAAAAATTATCGTGCGTTTATATGGACAAGCAGGCTGGCCCGGGTTGCCGAGATCTCGTTTGAAAGAGGCTAGATCTTGCTTACCGGGATGGAAATTTCTCCATATAAACATTTACAAGCGGGCTATCCCGGTTGCCGGGATGAAAGTTCAAAGATACCGCTGCAAGCTATTTTTAACAGCTGTCAAAACAATACAATGTAACAAAATTGTCCTGGCAAGCTGGATGAAAGTTTCTCATATAAACACAAGAGAAATTCATCCCGCTTACCGGGCTGTCTTGATAAGCGGGCCATCCCGGCTTCCATATAAACAAGCCCTTAATTGACATATGTTCCTCAACCAATTCAGAAGAATCCAAATTTTCCACGTATACAATCTCACTAACATTTCTCATTTTCGGTACACAGAACACAAGTTGGGGATAACTTTTCGTCAGTCGTTGCTTGAGTTTAAAAGCTCTATATTTAGATGCATCCATATTCTCAGTGTCCTTAGCAATGATAACAAATTTCTCCAGCAAATCTTTCATATACTTTATTTGCTTATTTCCGATGACCTCCATCTCAATTACTTTCTTACAGAATACATCATAAGACTTCTCGTACACTGATGCTCTCGTTGCTTCTTCGTCTCTCTGGTGAGAAATATTGTATAATTGCAGTAGCAAACTTTGTGATAGCGGATTTCCAGAGCTACACAGTCTTTCCCCTGGATTTGCACGAGTATCTGTTGATCACTCTTTCTCTCGGCAGCTGTACGTAGAAGACCAGCATCAATTGTTTTTGCCAACATGAATGGGGTTCTTCTTCTCTTCTTAGTTACCTGGTGTGAAACAAAATAAATTATTAAACTAAATATCTGCTAATAACAAGGTTGGATGTTTGTAGCATAGAAACTACTTTACCCTAAATAAACTTACAGTAATTGATCACAATTCAATATATTTTAAAACCAAACCTGAGAATGTTGTGCACATTGCGCTAGTATTATACCTATCAAAATGACCATACCTTGTCTAGTGAGAACCACGAGGCGTCTCTTCCACAAATAATACATATCTCTGGGAGTACATGCGCGTTTCTTTTAGGCAGGGCCTTTATATTTATAGCTTCTGCGACTGATTGACGTGTAATTTTTCGTCTTGGTTCTATTGCCTCCACTTCCACGTGTCACGTGTGATTCTTCGGTATAGAAGTTATAGTTTTAGAGCTAGTTCCTTCTCCTTTTCCTTCTTTTCTCGGTTATCTACGCATCTTCTCTTCATCACAAAATCTCTTCCAGCATTTCATATGATGGTTCCATTCTAAGTTAATGGTGTCAGGGTTCTTCTCGATGTATGAATTGACAGATCCGACATCGATGTTCTCGTACGATTTCTTAGCTATTTCAGCTTGTTGACATTTAAGTTTGGCCCATTTTGACCTACACTCAAGAAATTTCTTAAGCCTTTGGCGTGTAACTGTACGTGCAAAGTTGCTCCGTAACGCCATCAAAATGCATAAAACATGAGGATATTCGAGTTTTATAAATATCTTCAGCCATGTTTATTTGCATAAACTGAGCGTGTTTCCACTTCGAAGCATGTGCGTTGGTTGTGCGCGTGCGCAGTGCGAGTTTGGCTGAGTTGCGCATGCGTATTTGCTATCAAAACAATGGCGGTTCGAATATTTCGAAACGCGAAAATATCAAACTTTGGAGGGATTTTTCTCCCAATTGTGCACCTGTTTCGCTTGGGGAGCAACGGATTCTGATAAAGTAAGTTTTTATCTATTTATTCATGTGAAAATTACGTAGTTCCACGAGGGGTGCAACGGAATCCGTTTTCTAAGCATCTTTTGGATGCTCATCCTACGGCCTATACGTACATAACTCAAAATGATTCGAGCAAAACGGTCTTTTGTTAAAAGGAAGACTGGTTAATATAAATTGGTTCTTTTGAGTGACATAATTGTTTGTCGTCATCGATCCGTGTCGTTCAGTGAACAATGAAAAAATTTGTCGTGAAATTAGTGAAGATAAAATACGGAGCGGGAACTTTTCGGATTTGAACTCAGCGTGTTCGAAAGTGTTATTTCCCGTAATTCGTAAAAATATTTCAGTTCCAGGACATGTGAAATGAAAGTGAACGATATCGCCATATTAGGCCGTCGTCTGGGGACCCAAAATGTTTAGTTTCGTTGCACACCTCTTTAAACTAAAAGAAAATTACATATTCTTATAGATTAAGTGACGCTGAATCCAAATCTAAAAAGTTCTTGCGGGTTCACCCTGCAGTTTTTTTGTAAATTGCGATCAAAATCTTAAAATTTATGAGTTTCGCAATAGCATTTTTACTATATGCCATACGTCAAAATGCGTACTTTTGGAACCAGTCACTCGCGCGCCATAGTGAAAATTATACAGGATAGGTCACTTCCGCCTCCTCTTGAGATATGTGAAATCAGATTTGAGGTAAACAATGAGCAACACCACGATTTTAAAGGGTAATGGCAATAAAAAAAATTATCGCTTTATCTGAAAGAGCATGAAAAAATAAGCCGATTGGCCGTTCACTGTTCTATTCTATCTCATCTGGTTCCGAAGTTATACGCAAAAATGTGCAAAATATAAATTGCTGATTCAGCACAACGTGTGACGTCATTGGTAGGGTGAGTATGTTTAATGAATAGTAAACTGAAGCATAGCTCAGTTATTATTGGCTCAAATCAAATGACATTTTGCATACAGATAGTACATGATGAGACGCATGGGAAAATACTTCTAATTTTGTTGTCAAGGCAACGCAGTCGTTCCCAGGCCCCTTACACTGATTTTGAATAACTAGTTGCATTTATCTATGTGTATATCATTTTCAAATTATTATCATGCAAGTAAACTTTTGGCATGCATAGGTATGGTACACATACTTCTGACATTATTTTATTCTTATAAGTACCATGAATAAAGCTGTTTTATAAAATTGGCGCAAGGGGCCTGGGAACGGCATTGTTACCTTGGCAACAAAATTAGAAGTGTTTTTCAATGCGTCTCATCATGTACAATCAGTATGCAAAATTTCATTTGATTTGGTCCCATAATAACTGAGCTATGCTTCAGTTTAGTATTCATTAAACATACTTACCCAACCAATGACGTCACACGTTGTGCTGAATCAGCAATTTATATTTTGCACATTTTTGCGTATAACTTTGGAACCAGATGAGATAGAATAGAGCAGTAAACGGCCAATCGGCTTATTTTTTCCTGCTCTTTCAGATAAAGCAATAAAATTTTTTATTGCCATTACCCTTTAGAGTTTCATTTATTATTGCGACAAAGCGTATTTTCTGGCTTTGTACGAAGATATTTAGCACCACAAGGCATTCTTTCATGATTATGAACTTGTGTGCACACTATATCATCTTTATGGCGTGTAATAAAGGACGAAACAAACTTCAATTATACATTTTGAAGACAGAGTAATGGACATAAATTTGTAGTAATTGATATATTTGTATGGTAAGCCAAAAACTATCAAATACTTAATAGTAAATATATAAAATACATATTTAAACAATACTATAATTAATACCAATACAGTAATTAATAGCACATTAGGTTTCATCATCATCACAATACACTGCCTTCATCTATAAAGTTATTGTCAATTAGATCTGTCTCATTGTTCTCACAATTGCTTGTGTGAATTTTTGTATAAAATTATGCCAGTGAGCACAGCTAATAAAGTGTTAGTGCATTTGCAAAGTTCAGTGCACTTCAAATTTCCCTTAAAACATGAGCATCTTTTTGTCTGAGAACCCTTTTTACATTTGCAGCTATCCGGAGCAGATGCTGTCCGGATCAGATATTTCCCCATGAAAGAAAAAAATGTATATATTGTAAACATTTAGATAAAAGGAGAAATTCAGAGGGAAATTTGTAACCAATAGAAAGAATGTTAGCTGTTCTGTAGGAATGAGCTAAGAAATGCAATTATAAGTGCATCCATCTTCATAGTTTGATCGTGTATAAATGTATAGATTATAGAATGATGTTACAAATGTTGTATGGCAAGTGTATTTTTAGCCAATCTGAGGCACCTTATCTTTAAAATATTCTGGGGAGCATTAGTTTCCTTCAGAGCCATTGTTTGTTTTGAGTTTCTCCTCACGAGCGGCTTCGAGATCACTCAAGCACAGCATTCCGTTCCCTTTGTCTTTCTTTAGATATCTTAATGTTTAATAATTCATAAATATCTTGTCTCAAGGTCATGTTTCCAAAATTTAGAAGCATTACTGTGATCGGTTGGTTTCAGGAAAGGAATGTTGTGCTCGAATGAGCCACCACTCATGGGGAGAAACCTTGACACAAAGAGTGGCTGTGAGTTAGACTAGGGGAGGATGAATCCCTCTTAGAGTGCCCCAGTGGTAGCGCCTTAGGATCCAACCCTTGAAATTTTGACAACTTGTTAGTGTCACACAGTTACAATATCCAAGTGTTGATATACTGTCAGTATTTGATTATTTGCAAAAAACTTTCAATGTTAAATATTCATCTGACTGAATAAGGTTTCGAGTAGATATCATCCCAATATTTCAATATTTGAAGAATCATACTGTATATATAATTTCCTCACCGGGGCGTGTCTAATGCAAACAAATAATTTCCAGCCAGTATGCAGACATACAGTATAGCGAGCATAATTTATGTACCAAAGACTCATTGCTCTCACTGCTGATAGGTGAAGCTATACCTGTCACATTTTAGGAAGAGTTACTCCTCTTCAACAAACATCTGGAATCTTAATAACATTTTGTCATAAATTAGATGGGTTTACCTACTTAAATTATAATAGCCTGCGAACAGGCCCTGGGTTACGGGCGCGCGAAGAATAGAGGGCCTGCACGGAACTATAGGTTTTCTTGGTAGTGGCGTTCGTATAGAAACGCAGGCTTCTGATTGGCTTACACTCGTTGACAAAATTACTAAAAATAGCAAATGTCAACAACAGCATTTTGAAGAATTTGTCAATACTTTATTCATTTTAATATTATATATTATAAGACTATCGAACAAATAAAACTAGAAATGGAAACCAAAAGCAATAGCAAAGCATCACAGCAAAAAGTCTATCATAAATGACTTGAATCTATCGCTTAAATCCAATATACGAAACTATAACAGTATTCTGAACTTCGTCTTCGGATTGACATCAGACTAAGTAGTCTAAGTATAGTACATTTTGAGGTCGTCGTGGCTTCACGGATTATTCTCATTAGTGAGCAAGTCAGCAAGCAAAGGTATACAAAAGATACCCAAATGTGTACGAATAATTATATTGTTGATCCTCGCTGGCATGTCATTTAGATATAAATATATATCGTACATTAAACGCTGTGTACTATTTACTGTTTAAACTGCTGACAATTTCGTCGTCGATACGGCTTTTACCACTATGCTTCCACTATTGGCACACTCGTGATTTCGAAGAAATTAATAAATACATGCTCATTTATTATTTATTAAGACCACAGTTAGTAAAATTTTAGACGTATTCGGTATTCCAAATCCCAATCTATCTGACCGTATTTTAGTAATAGCTTCAAATATTCAGAACAATTTTGTTCTTTCAGTCGCACATAGTACAAGTATTACTGTATATTGATTCAATGCCAATGGTAGTATTTTATTCGGCTTTATATATTTGTATGTGTATTGATATCTATTTAATATTTGAAGAATTCTATATTTTACCGAGTAATATTTTGTGCGGCCCGCTAATGCTTTGTATTATTGTTCATATATACATTATGTACACGCCTTGCGTCAATTTGACAGTTGACAGTTTATTTATCGCAGTCGACGCTGATTGGTTCGCGTTTCGTAGATGCGAAAAGGGGATGATTGAATAAAACGCATGGTTCCGTGCAGGCTCACCTTTCTCCCAGTGAGCCTGTTCGCAGGCTAAAATTATAAGTTTCCACTACATACAGCAGCAGTTACTGTATGTATAAGGTCACATAACTGCCACCTAACACATAATTGCTCTTCTGGCCCTTAGAAAAGGCATGTCACAAACCTCTTCTGTCATATTGAACATTTAGTTGGAATATCTCAACATTGCAGTAAAGGCAAGACAACAGCACTTAAAGTATGTAGCAAGATTAAGCACTTAAGCACCACAAATTCTTCAAATATGCATTCAAGGCACTTAGAGATAATTTACACCTTCCCGAGAGTGTCACCACCCTCCTGGAGTGATATCTTTATGGCCAGGAAAATACCACATCGATCAGTAATGCCCATGGGGGACACGAGGCCCTGCTCCACACAGCATCTTAGAATGCTTTACAGTCACTCGGCCCACTAACCAACTCGGCCCACCATTCAAGGACAAAGTTAACTCGTCCTGCTCCTAAACTGACTAATCTAACCATTAAACAAGTTAGAAACCATGACTACGT